AGGGAGGGAGGGAGGGAGGGAGGGAGGAAGGGAGGAAGGACACTAACACCGTGTCTGAAATACATTTATTTTGCCCAGTCATCTCTGTAACATTCATGTTCTGTGAAAGGCAGTGGAAAGCATCTAGATTTTTCTACCCTTTGTTTTCATTCCTTTTTACTCAAGCTCAGCACCCCTCTCATCTATCTCTCATCCATCCATCCATCCATCCATCCATCCAACCATCTCCTTCCTTCTCTTCCTTCTCCCCCTCTGTAGACCAGGCTGTTCTCAAGCTCACAATGGCCCTCCTGCCTCAGCCTCTCAAATGTTGGGATTACAGGTGTGTGCCACTACATCTCTGGGCCTGCTTCTTCACACTCAGTGGTTTTCATTGCCTGTTCCTGCCTAGGAAAGCCCTCATAACCTCCAGAAAATCCCTTTTAATCGCTCTTGGGCCTTCCACACAGTGTTCACGCCTATACAAAGGATCAGGCTCCAGTGAGTAAATGTACTTTACAGTACCGTGCTGAGTGAGGGAACTCCTGCCTGTTGGGAGGGCTGTCCTCCAACCTCTCCACAGGCACAAATCTTTATAGAGAGTGCCTGGGAAGAGAGGTTCCCTCGCTGCCTTCCCTTCTGTATTTCTTTACCTGCTCCTGCTGTGGAGCAGAACCTCTCCACACCCACCGCTTTGCCCTTATAAATAATCCCATGGCATTCTAAGTAGGTGCTCTACAAAGAATGGGTGTGTCTCGCACACACATTCTGAGCTGCCCACATATTCGTTCTGCCTGACAAATACATCTAAACAGCCTTCTCGTGCTGAAAGATTACGATCTCTGGCATTTTCCCTTCCTCCTGCTCACACGGTCAGATAGCCGACCTTGCCCACACTGTTATCTCCCACCACCTGCTCCTACCCGGAGGGTTTTTATTTTCTTATATACCACAAAACCCTGATACCTGAGACAACATCTTCCTATCTCCTTTTCATTCTTGTTGGAGAAGAAGAAAAAAAGAAAAGAAAAGACTCCACCCACCAGCCAAGGAAGTAGTCATTAAGGGTAATTTGTGGGAGCTTTCACTTCCTTTTAAGTCTTCCTAGGACTTTCTCCTCGCACAGGAGAGATCAGGCTTTCTCACCAGGCGTTCGTTTTACCCGTCACTAATCAGCGCCACTTGTTTCTCCGGGAATTAGAGCTGATTGTGTTAATTTCTCAAACGCCACAGGTGCCCAACTCGGCTCTTCCCGCACACCCGCTTTTAATCAAGGTGTCTTTTTGTAGTCCTCTTCATTAAACATTTAAGAGATTCAGCCTTAATCTTAAGGCTTAATTCTGTTGTGTCCTCACAGTTTATAATCAAATCATAGCCTTGTCATTTCAAAATGATGAAAAGAATGAACAAACAAACAAAAAATGGCTTGAAGTTGGATCTTAATGGCTTCCTATTAATGTTTCTACTTCCCGTGTTTTGCCTTAGAGACATGAAGTGGTCTAGAAAAATGAACCATCTGAAGCAAAAAAAAAACTATGTTCAAAGAAACTATGGCAAAGAGTATTGTGTCATTTTACTTTTTATATTTGGTTATTTTCATTGTGTATAGAAGCCTCTGGCTTCATAAAAGTTTGCCCCAAAATAAACTCTCGTAACGATTGCAGTGACTTCATGACCAGTTGAGCTGTGTTGATATCTTCCAGAGAGAAAGTGGTTTCCTGACATCGAGCAGTGGGTAGAGGCAGAGCTGCAGTGTTGGGGAGTATCTGCGGTCCAGACACTAATACACTGTGGATGAGTCACTCATGTGTAGAATGATGCTCCCAACTGGCGGAGCTTGTTTAGTTCCCCCTATTATGTCATGCCAAAAAGCCAAAAAGCCAAATGCACACACTGCTTCTCTCCCAGTCAGTCAGTCCTGGGAAGTGATTTTAGTATGTTTCCAACTATGTTTCAGCCCATGTCTTATAATAAACATAACAGTCTCATTACTGTTCTCTAAATCTTCTGCCATAACGTGTAAGAAAGAGGCTCCGCCCATCTATTTGTAGAGCTAGTGCATTCCCTATAACCCCAGGAACCATGTGGATACTGATGCTCTGGTGTTTGCAGTCTGTTACACTGATTTAAAACAAACAAACAAACAAAAAACAAAGGGATGGCTTCTGCTATTGGGTACAATCCAAGTGTATATCATACTTGCTGTGTGTCTCAACCCACCCATCTATCACCTGGAGTTTCTGACAGAGACTTTCCCTACCCCCAGAATGCAGCTAATTCACTGTTTGGGAACCATTGTTCTTATCTTTGTGTTTCAAAAAAATTAAATCAATTTTTATCATTTTTATAGACAAACTATAAGTTATTTTATAGTTTCCTATTGAAATTATTTCTCCCCTCTTACCATTGATTTTTAAATGCTTTAGTAAGCTGGAAGAGCATGGTGGTATACACCTTTATTCTGATTTAGGAGGCAGAGTCAGGTGGATATTGTCTAAGTTAAGGCCAGCCAGGGCTACATAGAGAAACCTTGTCTCAAAAAAAAAAAAAAAAAAAAGGAGGGGGCATAAGTAAATGTTGTTTTACATGGGCCCACAGTTTTAAAGGAAGCAGACTGTTGAATAGAGTAGGGTTTTCTTCCATTCTCTCTTACTTCATCCTCTTCTTCTTCTCCCTTTTCTCATTTCTCCCATCATCATTTCCCCTTTAAAAATACAAATCCAGTCTCTTTACAGTTCTTGGAGCCTGTAATCCACAGCCTCACTAGACGAACCGTAAGGTATCCACCCACAGGGGTGCGTAGCTCTCCGGAGGCTCCAAGGGTACACCTCTTTTCCCGCCCTCTCTAGCTTCCCTCTTTTTTTCAAAGCCGACTGTAGCCTCTCACATCTTTCCCATGTCCCATCACGGAGTGGGCGTCCTTTGGCCAGTCTGTCACTGGTGGACCTCCCATCCACACACTGTCAGAAGTCACCGCTGTCAGCAGCAGGGTTTTCCTTATATCCTTGTTTGTACGTGGTCATCCCAAAATCAAAAGGAAGAGCGTGACAGAGTGTCTGAGTAACGTGCGCAAAGCCCTGGCCTTAATCCCAACACTGCCAGAGAAAAAGAAGTAGAATTCTTCAGTTAAAAAGAAAAAATCATGCCGGGTGGTCGTGGTGCACACCTTTCATCCCAACACTCAGGAGGCAGAGGCAGGCGGATTCCTGAGTTCGAGGCCAGCCTGGTTTACAAAAAGAGTTCCAAGATTGCCAAAGTTATTACACAAAGAAACCCTGTATGAAATGAAGAAACTGAATGAAATGTCTCAAAAGACATTTATATGAAAAATAAACACATAAAAGAACTGTTCACCATGCTTTGTAACAAGAAAAATACAAATCTAAACTGCACTGAGATTCACCTCACCCCGGTCAGAACAGCTGTCACCATGAAAACAAACAACAGATGCTGGCATGGATACTGGGTTGTTAATCCAGTCCCTATGGAAACAACACAGAGGTTCAAAAAAAAAAAATAAGGCTGCCATATTGTCCACTTCTGGGTCATGTACCTGAAGGAACCTAAAATCAGAATACACCAGAGATAACTAAGCCAAGCATAGTGAAAT